CTGGCCACTGGACCAGGCACACGGAGACAGGACGGCAGTGGAACATTTTCTTAAGGAATCAAAGGCGGGAGAGTTGCCATGCACAACATCAGGCATACGGTACAATTGCCTTCGCAGGCAGTGCTGATCACATCAGGGTACTAGGGGAAGCGACACAAAAGATGAACACAACGTATGGGGTGCATCTAGATTAACTACCCTCATGAACTGGAGGAGGAACCCCACGGTTTGAAGATCACAAATCCATGGCATTCCGGCTGCATAACAATGTTGGAAAGGAGGAGAGAAGAATGAAGCAAATAAACAACATGGAAATCAGGAATTTCTTATCAATGCTCACTAATTTCTCAAGGCCTACAAGGAAAATGGCCATGCGAAGTGAAGCACTGAGGCCTGTTTAGAAACACTTGTGCCAAGTGGGCAAATGCTTCCTGCAGGCACCAGGAACTAGAGCAGCAACCGCTAGCGAAACTTATCATCATGTAGGGTTTAGAGGGAGATGAAGGGGATTAAATTCCCTACCAGCCAAAATACCCCAAATCCCCTTCAGTTCCCTTGGGGGATTTAACCGAACAAGGCCGTAGGCCAAGTTACATCCTGCTACGGATGCTGCATCATACTTACGATCCAACACTAGACACATCCCACATGCAACCAATTTCTAGCAAGGAGTAGGTATTAATAATTCTGCAAGAAAATGGAACTTTCTGTAACAAGCAATCAACATGTGGCATACAAAACACAGGCTGCTTTGTTTGTATGCATGCAAAAGAAGAAGGCACTCAAAATCAAGAGATAGGCACTAAAGCTGAAAGGCTTTCCACTGTAAACCAGTATTCCTGCAGGTAAGCAACAGTAAGCTCACGGGGCAAATAGCCCATTAATATGGGTACTGCCAATGGCAAGAATAAGCCCGCAAAGTGTGGTCTGATAAAAATGCTTGTTCCTTGAATTGGAAATATAAATATACTACGATGTGAAAATGCCTGCTCCTTGAACTAAAAATACAGTCTTAGCAACAGTCTATGCAAGATTGATACTACTTGTAGTGTTCGACAGCCACTTGGATCAGTAAGTTGCACACTTCGGTTAAAAGACCTATTTGGTTCCATATACTATAAGGAAGGGCCTAATTGATTCAGTTGTAGACTAATTTTAAACAATGTACACGGAGAAACAAGAGAATTAGAGAAAGTAGCAAGCTCAGGTGCACACACAAAATCATATAACCGTCACAAAACAACCAGAGCATTGGACGGAAGTCATGTATCATATTAAGATTATTTATATCTGAGATCCTGTGTGGCTGTGCTTGATGAATTGGATGGTTATATGATTTGACCTGACATATTTCGCACTGGTGTGTGCTAATTTACCTATTTTTATTGTTCTTGGATGCAGCTTGTCAATTATATAAAATTACTTGCAGCTTGTCAACTCTGAATTTGCTATGTATCATATTAAGAGTAGTTATATCTGACATCCTGTGTGGCTGTGGTTGATGAATTTGGGATGGTTATATGATTTTGACCTGACATAGCAAATTCAGAGTAGCTGACATGATTTCATTAACATTCAGATCAACCAATTGTAACACCCCAATTAGGTCTAAATTTATTCAATTGTGACTACTTTTATACCATTGACAACAGCGGCCAGGAACAACAGAATGAGGTAAACTAGCACGCACGGTGCACAACAGGCCGGATCAAAATCAAATAACCATCTCAAATTCATCAAGCATAGCACAGACAGGATGTCAAAATATAACTACTCTTGATATGATTCAAGACAAATTCGGAGTAGCAGATATTGTTCCATTAATATTCAGATCGACCAGGCAAAAGTAGCACCACGGGGACATCCTCTTACAAACCAACCACGACTACACACGAACCATCAACAGTCCAACGATTTCCATCAAGCGCTACTACTAATACTACTATATATATCTAGATAGGCAGGCAGATCCACGGCGGGGATCAACAGCGGTCACCAGGAGGGGGGGCGGGCGAACCTAGGAGGAGGTGAACTTGGTGACGGCCTTGGTGCCCTCGGAGACGGCGTGCTTGGCGAGCTCCCCGGGGAGGACGAGGCGGACCGAGGTCTGGATCTCGCGGGAGGTGATGGTGGGCTTCTTGTTGTAGCGCGCGAGCTTGGCGGCCTCCCCGGCGAGCTTCTCGAAGATGTCGTTGATGAAGGAGTTCATGATGGACATGGCCTTGGAGGAGATGCCAATGTCGGGGTGCACCTGCTTGAGCACCTTGAAGATGTAGATCTTGTACGTCTCCACGCTCTTCTTGCTCTTCTTCTTGGACTTCTTGTCGCCGTCCTTGGCCGAGGTCTTGCCCGCCGACGGGAGACGCTTCTCGGCCTTGGGCTTCTTCCCGGCGGGCGCCTTCTCGGCCTTCTCCGCCGCGGGCTCCTCCTCCGCGGGCTTCTTCGCCGCCGGCTTCTTCTCCGCCTTGGGCGCCATGGGGTTGGGGTAGGTGGGGATTGGGGTTGAGGTTGAGTGCGGGAGGAGATTGGGGAATTTGGGCTGCGGTGGGGAGAGCGGGGGAGGGGGCGGTGGTTTTATAGCTGGGAGGCGGTGCGCGCTGATTGGTGGAGGGGCTGGTGCCGCGGATCGGTGACGTGGAGCGGTGTGAGGCGGTTCGCGCCGCTTTGGATGGACGGGCGGGATGCGTTGGGGCGCGGATCGGTGGGCATGGCGGGATTTATGGGCGCGGACCGGAAAAGGAAAATGAATTTTTGGCGGGACGATCGGAAAAGAAACGCAAAATGGATGGGCAAATGTTCGGGGTGCGCACAGTGTCTCGTCACAGTAGAAAAATGCGTGGCATCAAACAAATTTACACATTTCAATGATATCCAAATGAAATCTCAATATAAATTCAACATACGGATATATAAATGGTCTGAAAAGCAATTCACAATACAACAATAGTTTTCATTTACAACAAATGTTTAAATTAAATTAATTATTTTTTTCGTGAATACGCAAGAGTGTGTATCCTTTCATTGATAGGAAGGAGGTGGACAGCATGATTTTTTTTGGGGGGGGGAGGGTGCGAGCTCGATGCCTTGTATGCTAAAGGCAAGACATGGAGCCGCAGAGCATGGTGACGGGATGCTCTGCCCGTTACAAGAATGGACCTATGCTATCAGAACGCCTAGTCCATGCACGCTACTCTAGTCCAGGCGCGGGCCTCCTCCTGGATCGATGCGATTAGTCACGAGGAGGAGGGGTTCTCGTCGTCGAAGACGCAACTGTTGTGGTGTCGCCAGATGGACCACGCCGTGAGCACAGCCAACGTAGCGAGGCCTTTGCGGTGGCCGGTGGGTGATCCCTTGATTGTGGCCGAGCACCAGGGAAGGAAGTCTTCGTCTCCATAGAGGGGTGGGGTAGTAGCACGAACCCAGCGCAAGTACGTCATGCCAAATCTGCCGAGAGAAAGGGCAGCTGATGATGATGTGTTGCATGGTCGCTTCAGCCTGGTCGCACGGGGCACAACGATCATTGTGCGGCAGGCCATGTCGAGCGAGTCTAGCGGAGGTCCAGCATCGGTCAAGGTCGGCGAGCCAAGTGAACATCTTGACGCTGAGGGGGGGGCAACTCATCCAAGTGAGGCGCCAGAATGGCGCAGTAGTAGATCCGGTGTAAAGTGCTCGATGGCAGGATTTGGCCGAGTACTTGGCGTTGGCAGTCCATCGCCAAAGAAGGCGGTCTGGGTGGCTGGAGAGAGTAGCAGACCGAAGCAATGTCTAGAGCTGGACGTACTCGGTCAAAGCAGTGGGGTTGAGCGCGCCACGGAGGTCGGCGATCCAGCGGCAGTCCTGAAGGGCGTCGGTGACCGTGCGTTTCCTCAGGCACCGCGGCACAAGGGGAGCAGAGACGATGCCATGTCCGAGATGGTGTGACTATTGAGCCAGTGGTCGGTCCAGAAGAGACAAGTCCAGCCGTCGCCAACGGCT